ACAGCGCGCCGCTCCGCGCCTCCACCGACACGAGCGGCGCCGCGCCCGCCGCGCCCGCGCTGCCGCCCGCCAGCCAGTAGCTCACGCGCCCGTTGGCGCCCGCGTCCGCGTCCCGCGCCTGCACGCGCAGCACCAGCGCGCCCGCCGCGTTGTTCTCCGCCACGTACGCGCTGTACGCCGCCTCCTCGAACACCGGCGCGTTGTCGTTCACGTCCGACACCTCCAGCACCAGCTCCGTGCTGCTCCACAGCGCCGGCCTGCCCCGGTCCCGGGCCACCACCGTCACGCGGTGCTCGGACGCCTGCTCTCGGTCCAGCGCGCCCGCCGTCACCACCTTGTACGAGCCGCCCGACGACGCCACAATCGACAGCGGCGCCTCTCCCGACAGCTCGCACGACACCTGACCGTTCTCGCCCGAATCCCGATCCCGCACATTCAGCACGGCCACCACGGTGCCCACCGGAACGTCCTCGGGCACGGGACTCGACAGTGACAGAATCGTGATTTCGGGCGCGTTGTCATTCACGTCCAGCACCTCCACCTCCACCTTGCAGTGTGCCACCAAACCGCCACCATCCCTCGCCTCCACCAGCAACACGTAGCCTCGCATGTCCTCAAAATCCAGCTCCTTCTGCAGACTGATCGTCCCGCTCTCTGCATCCACCAAGAACTTCTGCAACATTTTAGTCGGCATTTTACTGAAGCCGTAGGTGATGTGTGCGTTGGCGCCGGCGTCGGCATCAGAGGCAGAGACGTTCAGCACCGTTGAGCCCGGAGGCGTGTCCTCACGCAGGCTGACGCGGTACCGGTCCTGCGCGAACACGGGTGGGTTGTCATTGGCGTCGGTGACGTTGATCCAGAGCTGGGCGGTGCCAGTCAGAGGCGGGTCTCCCCCATCCAGCGCAGTCAGCAGCAGACGCAGGCTCGGCTCGCTCTCCCTGTCCAGTGCACGGCGCAGCACAAGCTCCGCGAATTTGCTGCTGTCTTGGCTCTCCTTCACCTCCACTGCGAAGTAGCCGTTGGTCTCCAGCTTGTAGCCTTGCAGTGAATTACTGCCCACGTCCGCGTCCTCGGCCACATCAACAGAAAATCGGGCACCAGGTGGTGTAGACTCAATGATTTCGAAGTGGATATTTTCCCTAAGAAAGCGCGGCGCGTTGTCATTCACGTCCTGGATGTTTACTTCGACGCGGAAAACGTTCAGCGGGTTGTGCACCAGCACCTCGAAGCTGACAGAGCACGTCGCCGACTCGCCGCACATCTCCTCCCGGTCCAGCCTCTCGTTCACGTACAGGTTCCCGTTCTCCTCACTCACCGTGAAGTATTGCAGCTGCTTCTTGCCGGCAGACGCCACCTGCAGCTTGCGCGCCGGCAGCTCGTCCGCGCTGAGCCCCAGGTCCCGCGCCAGCGGCCCCACGAGCGAGCCTCTGCCCAGCTCCTCGGGGATGGCGTAGCGGAGCCGCTCGGCCGCCGCCCGGCCCCACACGCACAGCAGCACCGCGGCC